GACACAAGGTAAGGGCCAAGGTTCACTTTACTGTATGTGGATGTTCCCCTTCTTTCAGCATCATGTATTAAAAAGACTATCTGTGCCCCGTTGAACCATCTTGACATCTTTGTCAAAAATCACATGGCTATATATAGGGGGTTGATTTGTGGACTTACCTCTGTGGATTGACATTTACATCTGTTCTTTCACCAGTACCACACTGTCTTGATTCCCGTAGCCATGTAATCTTAAAATTAAGTAATGTGAGTCCACCAGTTATTTTTCAACTATTTTGGCTAATAAAATAACTAGGGGGGATCCCTGGATGGCGCAGCGGTTTGGCACCTGCCTTTGGCCCAGGGCACAATCCTGGAGACCCGGGATCGAATCCCACGTCGGGCTCCCGGTACATGGAGCCTGCTTCTCCCTCTGCCTGTGTCTCTGCCTCTCTCTCTCTCTTTCTCTCTGTGACTATCATAAATCAATAAAAATTTTTTTAAAAAATTAAAAAAAATAATAAAATTTATTTTTCTCCATGTCCTTTGTTTTTCCACATGAATTTTAGAATTAGCTTGTCTTCTTTCTACAGAAAAAGGCCTGCTGGGATTTTGGGTTGCATTGAATCTATAGCTTTGGGGAAATGTAGCATCTTAATAGTATTGACCCTTCTGATATATGAAGATGGTTTTATTCCTCCATTGTTTCTAGTCTGTAATCTCTGTTAGCAGTGTATTGGGGTTGTCCTCAGACATGCCCTCCACATGCTCATTACATCCATCCCTAAGCAATTCATGTTTGTTGATGGTGCTCTAAATGGTATTGTCTTTTTAAATTTCACTTTTTAGCTTATAGGAATAATTGATATTTGCTTATTGACCCCGTAGCCCCATGACCTTGCTAACATCACTTAGTAGCTTTTTTATAGGTTATTTCCCATGTAAATGATGTCTGCAAATACGGAGTTTTAGTTTTTCCTTTCTAATCTGGAAGCCTTTTATTTTTGTGCCCTACTGCAGGAATTTCATTTTTGTGTTGTATAGCATTGAATCCAACCATTTTAACAGACCACTAAACTCTACAGTCAGGTCACAGAGGACCTTTTTACTGTGAGTTTTATGATCTCTGAAGTTAATTTATAATAGATTTACTTTACATTAAAAATAGAATCAGATGATTGAGATGATGAAACTTTTCAGACTTAAAAGCACAATACACCTCTTAATTTTATGTAGGATTTTAGAAATGAGTCTGCAACTAGAGGTTTCATTTTTAATGATATCACAGATTTTGAAATGATATCAGTGTTTTTATGATTAAGAGTTTATCATTTATGAAATATCGACTCAGTGACCTTAGCTATTCAGTTATGATGAAAGGCCCAATCTAATCTTCTATTGAATGTAATATTTATTAAAAATGAAACCTCTCATTTCTATTACTTAATCAATAGCACATTAAGCCATTTATTAATATGATTACAGAAGGCCTTGCAGATTAGATATTCCGCCCCCTTGTCATCTAGTTTTAACAACCAGGAAACAGCAGCCTAAGTTAGAAGTCAGCCAGATCTGTCTAATCGTGCACTTGTAACTTTTATGAGATGCTGGAAAGAACAATTAAAATTTGCAGAAAGAAAATAATTTATAATTGCTGTCTAGGAAGGTACAAGCCCTTTTTTATATCATTACATAGGTAAACCTACTTGGAGAAGATCTACTTTATTTAGTTAACTATTACGTATTTGCTTAAAACAATGGGTTTTGGTACAGCTGGCGTACTGGCCAGGTGTGGCAAGAAATGTATTGCATGATTGATCTTGGCAGGGAAAGAAGCCAGTTGTAGGAGAAAGGAGAAAAACCTGCAGACATCGGAATGTTGAGACACGTCTCTTCTATGGAGTCTTGTGTTCTCTATTGAAATAGAAGGTACATCTAGAAGACGGCACTCATCATAAGCTTGCAGTTCAGTGAATTTTCACAAACCAGGACCGCTTCACAAATGAGCACTCCTGCCACCCCATGCCGCAGTGACGCCTTCTCTCTGGACTGTTCCGATTTCTGCATGCAGGCCACCTCAGAGGATCAAGCTTCACTTGTGACAGTTAGGGTAGCCAGAGTGACCAGCTCCCTACTGTGTGCACAGCATGCTTGAGCACTGTACAGGTCTTTCTTCCTTTACTTCCAACAGTGACTTTGAGGAGAGAGGTACTGTTCACAATTTCAAGTTGAGAAAACAAGGAAGAGGTTTTACAAGAACCACACTTACAAGCTTGTGCTGTGTGTTGGGTACACTGTGAAGCCCTGTATGGTCACCTCTCGTTTCATTGTCTCCCCGTCCCTGAGAGTTGTCATCTCCTTTTGCCAATGAGCAAATTAAAGGTCAGAAGCTCGTTTGCCCCAAGCCTGTGTTTTTTTACCAGTAAACTTGGAGGTCGATGTGTCACCACAGTGGAAATTTTGTAGATGAGCAGATGGAGAGAAAGAGAAGGCAGCCAACTACAAGTTGTTCATTGTAATTCTCAGAGGTTGCACCAAAGAGAAGATGGAAGAAAGACAGTGGTGCTAGCATGGGGCAGCACCTGCCTGATTCTTGGAGGCCAAGGGAGGCTCAGTCAGCAGGGTCTTTGACACTTTCCAAGGAGCTGCTGATTTAAAACTACATGCAGGGATCCCTGGGTAGCGCAGCGGTTTGGCACCTGCCTTTGGCCCAGGGCGCAATCCTGGAGACCCGGGATCGAGTCCCACGTCGGGCTCCGGGTGCATGGAGCCTGCTTCTCCCTCTGCCTGTGTCTCTGCCTCTCTCTCTCTCTGTGTGTGTGTGACTATCATAAATAAATAAAAAATAAATAAAAAAAAATAAAACTACATGCAGATGAGCCTCTGTCCAAATAAGCAGTTAAGGTCCATGTTTGGTTTAAAGCACAGGCTGAGGGGCTCAAGGATAGCTCTTTCTTTTCTGGATAACAGATCATGTGAAGTCAGAGCTGGAAAGGCTCAGAGAAGTCAGCCAGCCGGCCACCTCCTCCCCAGATGAAGAAGCCATGGGCTTGCTTAGAGGTGAAGACACTGTCCTGAGGGCACCAACGGGCACTGGGCACATGCAACTGACACATCTTACTAGTCATGGTGCTATTTTCTTTTGGAGTTATTTCCTTGTTTAAAAGCTCTGGTAGGGGTGCCTGGAGGGGTTCAGTTGGTGAAGTGTCTGCCTTTGGCTCAGGTCATCTTCTTGGGGTCCTGGGATGGAGTCCCAAGCTGCTCCCCGCTCAAGCAGGGAGTCTTCTTGTCCCTTTTCCCCTCCCCCTGCCCCCGCATGCTTTCATGTGCTCTTTCACACTCTCTCTCTCTCAAAAAAATGAAAATCCATGGGGATCCCTGGGTGGCTCAGTGGTTTAGCACCTGCCTTTGGCCCAGGGCATGATCCTGGAGCCCCGGGATCAGGTCCCGCAGTGGGCTTCCTGCGTGGAGCCTGCTTCTCCCTCTGCCTGTATCTCTGCCTTTCTCTCTCTCTCTCTCTCTCTCTCTCTCTCTCTCTCTCTTTCTCTGTCTCTCATGAATGAATAAATAAAATCCTTAAAACAAAAGCAAAAAAAAATCTTTTTAAAAAATTTTTAAAAACTTTTTGTAAACTTGTACAACGTTGCTGGTTTTCTAGCATCTAAATAACTTAGTCTCATATAAAGTGTTTACATTTTGTGCCAAAAATTACTACTAGAATATAATAAAGTTTTGTTTTTTTTCCCTTAGTGGAAAAAGCTCATGAGTCCTGGAATTGGAAGATACCAAAAAGTTGTGGAAATTATTGAAAAATAGGTTCTAACGTTTTCCCTTGTACCCTTGATCACTTGATTAGACCCTATAAGCTTCTCCCTACAGATGCATGTTCTGAGACCTGCTCCTAGGGCACCGTTGGTCCCAGCATTGTCACCCGGGACCTGGTGGGTGGCCAGATGGCTGGTTTTTCAGGCCCCCTTGACATGTTGGCAACCCAAAAATGGACTCCCTGAAATGTGAGGGAGTTGTCTCCCAAAATAAAATATTCTTTACCTGACCATCATCTGTATAGAGCTGCCTATTGAGCATCATCTCTGATAGATCAGAATAGTCCCTGAGGCTGATACAAAATCAGACATAATACTTACCAAAAACAGGCCCAAGGAGCTAGCAGATAGATAGGTGGCTCAGTGTTCCTAGGGCCCCTGAGGGGTCTGTTTCTGAGAACTACTCAGCTGTGTGGCAGGCAAAGTAGAATGTGGGTTTTGTCCTCACCACCACCCCTCCACCCAATCCTCCCCTGCCGTCCCTTCTATGTGGCTAAAACACATGCAGAGTCCATTCTACTTACTTCGTGTCATCTGTTCTTCACATAGTCCATGTTCTCCCTCAGACTGAGGATGTGTGAGGACTGGGGGCTGTATGCATTGGAGTGGGGTATTCTGGGTTTGGGAGGAAGGGCATTTGTTCCTGTTATAGGATAGCAAAGCATTTTTGCCTGCTTTCTGTGCTACCTTTTAGAATTAGAGGTTGAACCAGAGGCGTGTGTTAGTTTTACAATTTGTCTTTGATTTTTGAGGGTAAATATTCTGAATTTCCTTTATCAGAAAACCAAATAAAATGCATGCCATTTCCTGTATAGTGGTCTACAGCTTTTTTCCTGTCTACACCAATTTTCTGTTAAGAGCATCTTGGCATGATTTATCTCAAATAACTTAAGTTAAAAAGTAAGCGGGTCTCTGACGTTTTTAGTTTCAGCTCAGAGCACATTGAAACCGTATAGAGACACATCTGATAGCTTTTCCCAGCAAAACACAGTTGATATTGACGTCCATAATTGATCACTTTATTAACTGAAAAAAAGAAGCCTCATTGAAGCAATAAAGCATAACTTCATTATGTCCTGTGTGCAGAGAACAGACATGTTGGAAAGTGGCTGACAGGCTCCCATTTCAAGGCTGATTCTGATAATGATAATATTTAAGGAGCATCGATTGTTCTCTAATTGGATTTTTCTTTCTGTAGGCCTCTTCTGAAGAGCTGAAAGCTGCCTACCGGAGGCTGTGTATGCTCTACCATCCCGACAAGCACCGAGACCCAGAGCTCAAATCACAAGCAGAACGACTGTTTAACCTTGTCCACCAGGCTTATGAAGGTCAGTGGAGGGCTTGGCTTCATGCAGACGCCCTGGAAGCAGCGGTTCGATTTTTAAGAGACTTGATTTGTAGAGGACAGAAAGAGAGTCCTTAGAGGTGTATAAGAGAGGAGGTTAGGTTAGTGCTTTTTTACTGACAGGGGCCTTTGAAAGAGTAGTATTTTGCTTTAGAAATCAATGTGTCCAGTAAGTGGGAAATGAGAGTGCAGGTAGAACAGCACACAGGGTCTGGGCTGCAGGGAGCACTCGGGCTCTAAATCGCTCGCTGGTTTTCTTCCAAAGGGAACTCTTAGAGGTAAAAGGCTGATCGCTACAGACAAGCCTTCTTTGTTCTCTTTTTTATGAGAAGATGTACAGGAATGTTGTGTTTTGTTTTTTTTTTTTTTTCATCTGACGCTGATTTTATTGGCTCTGGAGCATTCAGTTAAGGAAAGGTTCTAACAAAGGGAGGAAAATGATGTTAGGAAGGCCAACAGGAAGTAGAATCAAGTAATTCAGGTTTTTGTGCTTACTACATGTTAGGTGCTTCAGGAAGAGAATTTTGTGATGGAGTTGTGCATAAAGTGTTCAAATCACTGATAGGTCCAGAGTTGCCGTTGGAGATGGTGGGAAAGCTCTAGCAATGTAGTGGTGGTGGACACACTGCAATGTGAATGTCCTTATGTCACTGAATCATTGGCTGAAATTGATTCTGTGTTATGCATATGTTGCCAGTTTTAAAAACAAAAATTAAAAAAATATTAATTCATTCTTAGGATACACACTAAGTAAAATAAGTTGTTTATTCCAGAGCCATTTGGTGATTTGGTCCTTAGACCAAAAATTAGAAAAGTGTTTCTTTACAGAAATCAGAAATCAGAAAGACTTCTGATTGCAGACACAAAAGCATATGCTATATTTCACTTTATGGTTTTACCAAATAATTAGATTTTACTGAGGAGTAAAACTTGGGCTATGGCGTGTGGCACATGTCTGAGGTCAGCAGTGGGTCTTCAATGGACTTAACTCCATTCAGACCACTTCTGCGGCGGTCCTGACCAAAAGCTTGATCCTTCTCTCGTACTCTGTTGCCTGCATGGCTGCATTGATTTTACTGCTGTCTAAATTGCCCATGTAGCCAGTTCGTGTGGTTTTGGAAATTCAGGGAAGAGTTAACAGAAAACCCTAGCAGAGCTTGTGGAAGTGCTGCGGCAGCAGACCTGGCCCCAGTGTTCATCCTAACGGGGAGACCAAAGTAAAGCTGTGAATAAATAATTCCCTATGAAATCCTACAGATTAGCACGAGAAGTCTGCATCCCACGTTTTCCAGTGGTCAGCATTTCTTTCTTCCCCATTAGATTTGAATATGGATGGAATCATTTACATCGTTTTTTAAATTAGGCCTAAAAATATATGGGAAGTCTCAAGGGAGAAAAGATTCAAAGGTCTGGAAGAGAAGCTGGCAGAGGAGAAGAGCAAGGACCATTGGCTTTCCTGACACTATGTTCAGTTTGGATGCCCTCTCAGTAACTCTGCCCCTTGCTGAGAAATCTTTTTCTGATATACTAACTTAAGTAATGTGGCCACCACCATAGAGACAGGTGTTTGTGTTTTCAAATGGTGTACAAAAAAGAAGAAAAGTGGGAAAGGAAAAAAAAACACTCAACTGTCTTAGAAGGTAGTGAAACGCTATAATAGAGTAAGTAGTAAATCATCTTTTTTTACAATCAGAGCCTGTCTGAATAAGCTTTAGAAACTGGAATTAACTCTTTCAGCCTGGGTCCATTTTAGGCTGTGGCAGAAACTTAATTCTGTTAAAAATAACTGTTCTTTACTGATTCTAGGGTACAGCTTCCTATAAGGTGCATCTCACAATTAAGAGTAGCTTGGACATGAAAAATCCAATATTTTTCCTTTATGTCCACCTTTAAGCACATCCTAGATCAGATCTGAGAGGCAACTAGGAGGAAAAATGCACAGGGGATGAAGATAGCCTCTTGGTGAAATTGTGACTGGACAGGGAAGAAGAAGAGGTGGACATACTTGATGATGTTGCCAGGTCTGGAAGGAGAATTGTGTGCTTTGTAAACATGTGTGATTTTTAATTTGCAGTGCTTAGCGACCCCCAGACCAGGGCCATCTATGATATATATGGGAAGAGAGGACTGGAAATGGAAGGATGGGAGGTAAGAAAAACCGCGTGTCAGTGTCCCAGAAGATTCCTCACACATCTACAGAACAACAGCCCCCCCCCCCCCCCCCAGTCCTACAACCCAGATCACTGGGAAATACTGGGAAATGCTGAAGTACCTTCTTCACTTTGTATTCTGGTCTCAGAGACTGAGGTCTAGGCCAGGCTGTGCATCCATGTACCTCTGTGTGCTTGGGCATGCAGTGATCTAGCTGATCCTCAGTGTCCTAACCTGTCCTGTAAAAAGCAAAGGGCATAGATGATCCCAGTCATTTCTAACCCAAGAGAGGGCACAGGCTGGTTAGGGAGCTGATGGAAGACCATTTCTTCAGGGCCCAGGTCTGTCTCCACATGCATTTCCTGCCATCTGGCACAGTTTTGTGCCCCTCTCTGCCCCAGCTTACACGTAACCGGATCTGAGATGTGTTTGTGTTGGTCATGTGTTGTGTGTGGGAACAAAATGGAAGCCTGGAATAGTTGTGAACTACAGCATGAAAGTGCCCATAATGAAATAAGTTTCCCTGGCAGCCCTGCTGCATGAAAACAATCACTAAAATTCACAAGATTGTCTTTTCCCTCACGCTGCTGCCTCTCTCAGAGCCTCAAGCATGTCCATGTTACTGTCTGCAGTAGGAAGGCATGAGGATCAAGTGGGAAAATGAATATGAAAATTAGTGATAAAACTCTTAAGTTGCTATAAGAACATGTAGGTGTTATGATTTAATTTCATTAAGGAAACTTGGTTCTGATGCCCAAGAAATTGTGGGAGGCTGTTAGTGTTAAGTTGGGCATTGCTGACTTCTTTCTTGTCACTGTATAAATTACCCTTGAAGTTCTTTTGGTATTTAATCTCAGGCCAGTAAGTCTGTCTCCTCTAACTAGTATTAAAGCCTCCTACAGGCTTTCAGATGAGGAGCACAAGAGAATCAAGACAGGTTCTAGTTGCCTTTCCACTGTTGCTTAATATCGGTGGCTTATGGGCCATATTCTACCTGTGGCCATGTTTTGGGTGCCCACATGATAAACTGTAGTTGCTAACATTTAAAAATGGGAAGTTTTGCATAAAAATCCAGTTGTCTTTCTTCTCTTGAAAAAATTAGAAAATCTGGGAGCAACATACCTGAATTGCCCTGTGAAGGGCAGTCCACCATATTTCAGGAGCCTCTTCCCCGTGGGTAGGGCTGTGCCGTGGCCTTCCCCAGCGCTCACCACTTGCTGTCTTACAGCTGACCTGCCCTTCATCCGCGTGTCCCACCTGGCTCCAGTAGGCATTTGATTTCTAGCCTTTGGCTTGATGGAAACAGCAGTGCTTCACGTCACATTAGTTCATTGTAGCAGAGCCTTGGGTCTAATAGCTTAGCATTTCTCCATCCTAAAAGGAAAATAGAATCCCATTTTATTTATTGACTTTCTCCTCAACCTTTGTACACCATGTTCAGACTCCATTGTTTTTTGAAGACGTAGGTTGGCTACAGTTTTTCATGGGTGCAGTCAGGGCCACTGAAAGGCTGGAGCCTCTCTTACATGTCCCTCCTTTAGAGTCTAGGTTGTTAATTCCCAGCAGCATTAGCCCAGCTAATGGAGCCAGCGGGGTAACATTTTCCTGGCAAAATGCTGCGTGGCTTCCTCTCGCCAAACCAGATTATCTCCCCATTAGAAACAAAGCAAAACCGCACACACAGTAATGATTATAAAAGTATGTAGACTGTCACAGATGGTGAATGGATAAGCTTTTATATTCATATATTTTTGTAAGCTACTTTATAAGGAAATCAAGTTCTCATCGATCAGAATTAGCTTGTGTGTTTGTGTGTGTGTGTGAGAGAGAGAGAGAGAGAGATACTAAGCCTTCACTGAAGATAAAAATGCTTTCAAGGAAGAGCACATGAAAATACCTCCCCACATATTTACTAAGAAATGTATTGGTGCCTAGCATACGGTGGGCAATTAAGCCCATTGTTATGGGCGGTAAAGGAGTCTCACTGAACTGGAGCATTTTGTGGGGCTGGCATCGTCACTGCTCCAGGCAGAGCTTCCTCCCCAGGGAGAAGCTGAGTTCACGTCATGCTGCTGCTGATATTCTTTGACTCTTAAACTTTGCTAATTGCTGATGATCTCCACTTGCCACCTATCTCTTAGTCTGAACACACGGGCAGTGGCTGAAAAAGAAAACGCACCGTCAGAACAATAGCTCCGGAGACACCTTCGTCAGGGCCCTCCACAGGCGTATTGGCCTCTCCCTGTCTCAGGGGTGGGGGTCACCCCCTTCTGTTGGTTAGCACTGGGGAGGAAATGTGAGCTTGCAGGCTGCAAAAGATACCGGCCCTGCTTTCAGCCATTAGTAAGTTTTCAGTCTCTTTTTTTTTTTTTTTTTAAAGAGAGCAAGAATAAGGAGGGTGGGTAGGGACAGAGGTAGAGAGAGAATCCCCAGCAGACTCCACACTTGGTGCAGAGCCCCACAGGGGGCTCGATCCCACAACCCTGAGATCATGACCTGAGCCAAAATCAGGAGCAGACACTTAACTGACTGAGCTACCCGAGTGCCCCCCACTTTATTTTCTTTTAACCTTTAAGAGACTTTGTCGTTCTCTGGCAGGATTCCAAAGGCAGGAGATGCAGAGGTGCAAGCATTCCCCACTTGTGAAACCAGTCATTTTAGTTACCCAGGCTAATTAGTGGTGTTTGTGGGGATACTCGGGGTGAAAATGAAATTGACTTCAGAATGGCAAGCCTCAGCTTTGAGCTGGGAGTGCTTGATGGTGTTGAAGCTGGTAACAGCAGCTAGTGTAGTAGAGTGCACAACTCAGTAGCACCGGCAGGTGTTAGATCACGTCCTGTGGCCCCGACCGTCCATGGTCTAGATTCTGTCTGCAGCCCCATAGGTGATCTGTGTCTCACTCTGCTCTGTCTCTGACATCAATCTTATGGTGTCTAGGAAAGTAACCTGCTTTAGTAGCAGCTACAATCTGGTCAACATCATGAAAACAAAGACTTAGAAGCTCTCACAGACTAAGGAGACTAGATGACAAAATGCAAGCCGAGAGCCTAGACCAGATCCCAGAACATACAAGGGATGTTAGTGGAAAATCTAGTGAAATCCAGAAAGTCTGGGTTCAGTTCCTTGGAGTACTCTAGGGTTGGTGTTGAATTTGGCAACTGTCCCTTGTTAACAGTGGGGAAAGCGGAGTGAAAGGTGTACAAGAACTTCCTGTACTGTCTGTAATTTTTCCAAAGTTCTAAGTAATTTTCTAAAATTGTTCTAAAACCAAAGTCAAGGAGCGCCTGGGTGGCTCAGTAGTTGAGTGCCTGCCTTTGGCCCGGGGTGTGATCCTGGAGTCCCGGGGTCGAGTCCTGCATCGGGCTCCCTGCATGGAACCTGCTTCTCTCTCTGCCTGTATCTCTGCCTCTTGCTCTCTCTCATGAATAAATAAATAAAAATCTTTAAAAAAATAAAAATAAATAAATAAAACCAAAGTCAAGTAGCTAGAATCAGAATTTTCAGACCAGACAGTATCTCGGGAAACCTGTAATTTAACCCCTCATCCATAGCTGGGATCTGAAGCTTAGAGAAGTGAAGTAACCCCCACACATACCTGATGCCATCAGGAGGTTAGAGGCAGTGTGGGTGAGTCTGCCTTCTGTCCTTCTACCACACAGCCTTGCTTTTAGGGACCCCTGCCCCCTCGTCCACTGGGTAAATCACTCTTCCTGGTTAGCACAGGGATGGGCCTACTTTGTAAATGGACAGTTAAGGCAAATGATACAGGTGTGTAGAATCATGGGCTGCATGTGATCCTCTCTGTTATGGAACATGTCTGGTATTTACCAGCTAGCACAGGGTTCCAGGTGCTGTGTGACTTGTAGCTGGCTCAGTCTCCTACCCTTCTCTACCATGGCACACTGTATGCGAAGGGCAGAAAGAACAGAGTATGTCAGGGAAGCAGGACTCTGCCCTGCCCTGCCCAGCTCTTCCCTGCTCTGGAGGTGCCAACCATCCTGACTTCGCAGTTAGCTCTGATTATGTACCAGCTGTTTGCCAAACCTATGTAAAATCGGCTAGAAATGGAATGACCTCACACCTTTGGAGTATTTGCATCTTCAGCTCATCACAGTGTGGCAGAGAGAAAGGAATGTGCAGCTATTAATTCAGTCCGCAAAGGTCAGGCAGCTATAGAATTTCTGAAAACAAATCTTGTTCTGCTTTGGCCTCTGCAGAACCTGACACTTTCCAGTCTTTTAATTCCTGGAATCTTACAAATCTGTGTATTTTAAAAATCTCAGGAACTCGTGGAGTCTGTGTCATTGGTTAAAGTGTGGCTAGTCAGACTTGTGCATAATTTGCATTCTCAACACCAGTATCCTGCTGGACAGAATATTCAGTGTGAAACCTTTTCATCCAGATAGAAGAGCTGGATTACTCTGTGACCCTTTGGAGCAGGTGCTTCCCATCCAGACCCTGCTTGGCCTTGGTAATGCATCACTTAGGTCACCACTGGCGGGTCCTTAGTCACAGGCTTACCAAGTTAGGGTTCAGAGGTCACAATTTCTAAAATATTTTAAATCCTTTTTTCCTGATCTTTCTATATGTTCATGGTTAAATGGAGTAATTACTTATATTTCCCTGAAGCTCTTTTGTTTTTGTTCTCTATACTGGAGGGGGAGGCTGATGGGAGACAAGGGAAGGTGATGAAAGTTGAAGCATCAAGCCTTCCTCCTGCTCTGTCCAAGGTCAGGACATAGGGTGGAAGCCCATGTCCTCAACTTCAGAGAAATAGCAGGGCAAGCCTCCATATCAGTTCAGTACAATGGAGGATGTTGCTGTGAGGCCACAAAGCAATCACTGACATGCCATTAAGGATTTTGATTTGTTTTTGGGTAATTTTTGTGTCTTCATTATAAAACTTGCTTTAGGGACACCTGAGTGGCTCAGTGGTTGAGAATCTGCCTTTGGCTCAGGGTGTGATCCCAGAGTCCTGGGATCGAGTCCCACAGGGGGCCTGCTTCTCCTTCTGCCTGTATCTCTGCCTCTCTCTGTGTGTCTCTTGGGAATAAATAAAAATCTTTAAGAAAAGAAAAGAAAAGAAAACTTCCTTTAAAAGAACCACTGCCGCTTTTTAGTAATTATTGATTATAAGGGTTATTAGAGCCAAAAATGTGTTATTTTTTCTCTTTACATCCTAAAAGCAGTAGTGAACAAATTTCTCAGTGTTTTTTTGAATAAGCCAGTTTTTATATTAATTTTTCTATATTGCTGAATAATAAAATCAAGGTGCACAAAACCTGGAGTATGACCCCATTCTGTTAGAATGTACATGCACACGTGTGCACAGAGGGTGTCTAGGAAGGTACATAAAAACTAGATGCTAGCCCTGAGAAGGACGGCAGAGAAGAGAGGGTGCTATAGGCAAATTGTACTGTATCCTTTATATCCTTCTGTACTATTTTGATTTTTTGCTGTGAGCGTGTATTTTTTTAAACAATTTTTTAAACTTGTGATTTCCAGGATTGCTTCTTCTCACATCACCTCCCTTTTTAGCTGTTCTGTGAGCAGCCTCTCAAGGCTCCTCTGTATTTCTCCCACTGATACAGGGAATGTGCTCTCTGGGTTTTCATGACTGTCCCACCCCCACTCTCAGTGTTCCTCACAGGCCGTGGAATCTTGGACCCTAGAAATCACGGGGTGCGATTTCCTCTTTCACAGATGTGGGGCCTGAGGTCCAAGGTGGCATTTCCTTGCCTCTTTGAAATCTCTACTTTATGACAAACTAAGAAAAAAGCCAAGTTGGAATGCCTAATATTCTCCATATTTGACATCATTGTGTAACCCCGAGCGTTCATGTGGTCTGCCCTTTGGTACTTGAGTACTGTTTATGCTAAAGTACATCTGACATTATACATTCTCAGGGGTATCCTAGTGTAGGGGGAAGAGTCCCATTGTTGTAAAGATGCCCAGGCCTGAAGGCCAAAGACCACTTGGTCCAAGCTTGGAAAGCTTCTCTAGTGATGGCCCCGGCGTACTGGGAAGAGACAGCAGGGCTACGGTGGGCACGTTTGCCCTTTGCTTTCATCTTTAACATTTATTATCTGTGCTGGGATTCATTAGGAAATTTAGACTGTGAAACTTAAGGTGATTTGTTCTTGGGGCTCCTTCATGGCTCAGTCGTTTGAGCATCCGACTCTTGATTTCACTTCAGGTCATGATCTCAGGGTTGTGAGATCCAACCACACATCCACACTAGTGTGGATCCTGCTTAAGATTCTCTCCCTCTTACCCTTTGCCACTTCCCACCCCACCCTTGTGCATGGCCTCTCACTCTGTCTCTAAAAAAAAATAAAATTAAAAAATAAGGTGATGTGTTCTTTGTAAGGTCCTGCAGCCTCAGAGATCGGTTACTGAAACCAAGGGTGCTTCTCTCGCTGGAGAGCTGAGGAAAAGCATGGCCCTGGGGATGATCAGGGAAGAGCTGAATGGGTGTAAGTGTGAGCCTCACCTCATCAGAGACTGTGTCCACAGGAAAAACTCATTGGGGTGTCACTGCCATTCATAAAGTCCTGGGGAAAGGACTGGCCAGCCCAGGCCAGGTGGACACACCTCAGTTAATGATGTCCGCTCTTTGTGTGTTTTCTTTGCTTTCTGGGTCCTTAACTGTCTCCTCCTCCTGACTGTGTCCGCAGGTGGTGGAAAGGAGGAGAACACCAGCTGAAATCAGGGAAGAGTTTGAGCGGCTGCAGAGAGAGAGGGAGGAGAGGAGGCTGCAGCAGCGCACCAACCCCAAGGTGAGCCAGGCATGCTGTGGGGACAGTTTAGGGCATCGGTGGGCCCAGGATCCTTGTTGCTGGTGAGATTTTTTTTTAAGTAATTATATGCCAAATTGGTAGAACAAAATTTTGTTTATCTGAATGGCATCTTTCTGGAAAGCAGCTTCCAGTGACTTTCAGCAAAGCTGCTGCTCAGGTCTTGAAGAAATGTGCCTTCAACCATGTGCACAGAAGACAAAACCAGTTCCAGATTTCTGGCCCAGACAGCAGCACAGCCCAAATCTTGAGACCCTTCCCTGCAGTCGAGCTGCCCAAGCCCTTGACAGGTTCCAGTCAGGGGATGCTATCAGGGAGAGGGCAGCCACCAGACTACACCACTTAGGTTTGAGATATTTCCAGACTGCCTTAGGCGGGGGCCCAGGCTTTTATCCTCCCAGGATAGCAGTGCCATGAACACCAGTCCCCAGGTTCTTTAGGCAGCAATAAGATGACCCCCCTTTGACTCAGTCAGGTCCCCAGGGGAGCTTGAGTCCTGTGACCCTGAGTCTGAGAGTGACTTTTCAGTCCCGCATATGGTATTTCGCCCTTTGATTTGTTAGGGAAGCACATTGTTCTGAGTACGTGCCCCAGCCCTATGGCAGATAGGATAGCTCAGTTGATTTAAGATACCAGATGTATGAATGGCTAACCAAATGTGGCCCAGTATTCCTGTTCAACTGTGCTTGGTAAGGGGACCCAGCAGCCGGACTTCCATCAGTGTGGCCAGGATGGCCTGGCAGGCAGCCTGAAAATCTCCTAAAGAAAAAGAACAGAGGCTAGCATACAACTGGGAAGTGTGATAATATGAACTTCTGATCACATATATTCCCGAAAGTGGATTTTTTTTTAAAGGCTTTTTATTTTTTTTTAAATTTTTTTTAATTTATTTATGATAGTCACACAGAATGAGAGAGAGAGGCAGAGACATAGGCAGAGGGAGAAGCAGGCTCCATGCACCGGGAGCCCGACGTGGGATTCGATCCCGGGTCTCCAGGATCGCGCCCTGGGCCAAAGGCAGGCGCCAAACTGCTGCGCCACCCAGGGATCCCCCGAAAGTGGATTTTTTTAAAGACTCCTACAGGAGTTAGAGGACCGTAAATTCAGAATGCTCCCATCTATTTGAGGCCTGCATTTCAAAGTATATCTACAAATGCCAACACCTCTCCTTTCTACTCAGCCTCCCTGCCACAGATGATGGCGTCAGTGATGCAGAGCGGCTTTTGGTCCTAGGCAGGTAGAGAACTGAAACACCAGCCAAATCAACTTGGGGCATAGTTAGGAGTGCTAAAGTTTCTGAGGCATCCTGAACCATGTTCGTGGATTCCCTTCAAGGGGCCAGTGGTCAGGGCCACGCACTGTGAGGGGGTCTGGTTTGAAAGGTCGGTGTTGGCAGATGGAGTGAGAGTTGAGAAGATGGGGTGGAAGCCTGGCAGGAGCAAGCTGTTGCTTTGGTATCTTTGCTGTTTTGGCTGGAGTTTGCTGCATTCAGAGCAATGAAGGGGAAAGAGAACGTCACAGTAGCCTGAGCCTCTGTGTCCTGCAATAAAATTGGCCATCTGGGTGTGTGCAGTGATTGCTTATTGGGATTCTGTGAAAATGTGTCTCCAGGCCATGTTTCTGTGGAATGAGGGAGCACAGCTGTGACCATTTCACACAAGCATGCAAGTTATTGTAAAATTCCTAATACTTTGCTACTTGCATAAACTGCTTCCAAATAAATAAGGCATTTTCTAACCAGAAATAGTAAGTGATAACCAGATGTTGGCTGTGCAGCATTTTGAAGAGAGGTTTTGAGCTAGGTCTTTTATTCTGTTTCAGGGGAGTTTGCTTTTCATGATGAGTGGGAAGGGTTTGGAATGTTCTTATCCAAAGAAAGACAGGGCAATCTTCTCCTTTTAAGAAAACCACAGGAGAAGGATACTCCTGATGACAATCAGGCTCAGCACTGACCTATCCCAAGGTTTAGGCAGGCTAGATACCATTATTGGTACTGCCATTTGAAATTTGGATGGGCATTTCTCTCTATTGTTACTAGTAAGCTTATTGGGCGGGGATTTTCCAGTAGGATGTATATACCAAGAACAGGCAAAGAGGTCAAATGGGAAAAATCATAGATTGGAAATACTGACTCTGACACAGTGATGTGTTTAGTTTTCTTGTCTGTAAAATGAAGCCGTCTAGGGGTGCCTGAATAGCTCGGCCAGTTGAATATCCGACTCTTGGTTTCAGCTCAGGTGGTCATCTCAAAGTCATGGTATTGGGCTCTGTGTCAGGCTCCATGTTCTCAGCACAGAGTCTGCTTGTCCCTCTCCCTCCTCCTGAGCCCCTCCCCCTGCTCGAGTATATGTGCACGCACACTCTCAAACAAATAAAATATTTTTTAAAAAAGTAGGAAATAGGTGTTAATATATTCAGACCAAGTTAATTTAACAGACCAAGTTTGGTGAGTAAATGCACAGTGATACTGTGCATAGGTCCTAATGAGGTTAAGAACTCAGTGTCGTGTCCATGTTTCCTCCAGCACTGCATGGGAAATACTTGGCTTGGTCAGGCAGTTCTTGGCCTGTGGTGAGTGGGCTTGAATGGGTTCTGGCCATTGGGATTTCAAAATGGCCATCTGACAACACCATTCAGCCTTCTCCTGTGGCCTTGGCCCAGTGGTGTTTCAGTGTGGCCAGCTACCTATGAATCTTGGTTTATGTGAAATAAGCTTTGGGAAACACTGTGGGGCTTAGAAATAAATGAGCACAATCTCCAACTCTAGAGTGCAAGCCACCAGTGCAATGCATGTGCAGACATGCTCACACGCACAGGGGCCAGAGACAGCATGGTGGTGCTTTCCGCTTGGAGTCAGGAGCCCTGTACAGGGATTCAGATTCCACCCTCCCATTATGGGCTCTGAGTCAGGTCACTTTTCCTGTATTAGTTCAGTTTCCCCTTGTGTGAAATGGAAGGTTTGCCACCAAACCCACTATGGGGAGTCGGAAAACCCCAAAGTCCTTAGTTTAATTGCCTCTGTTCTGTCTTTGTCGTGTGAGAGGAAAGTCCTCTGTGTTTCCTGCTGGAAAACCCCAAGCTCAGGTTGCTGGTGTCTGAGGATCTCCCGGGCCCTCATATGGAGCAGGTCTGGGAGGGAATTTATGGCTGGGACAGACCAATGAGACTCATCGGCATCTGGAGCACCACGTGTGACTGGACTCTAACTGGACTACCCTAGCCACCCTACCACTGTCTTCAAGATGTCTGTTTCATTGGCTTAGTCCATTTACATTTCTTGCCTTTTTAAAGACTTAAGGTCATACAATAGGGTTGTTCTGTGCCATGTTCATTCATATTGATTATTTTGATTCCTTTCTTTGTTAATACCCATAAGCCTTCTATCCCTCTGATGGCAGCCACTCTACGAGTCTAAGGACATCAGATCTCGGACAGTGCTGTGGGACTTTATTACTGCCTTCTAATGAACTTGTTCACATCCCATGTGAAGCAGAGCCTTAAGTCAAAGACTGCTTGGGAGATGTCAGGGTCTGCCCCTGAGGGTGTGTGTGCACTGTCTGCTTTCAGACCCTGTTATATTACAGTTCAGGGGGTACGCTGCATTCTTTCCTGGACCTTCCATTTCCTTTCTCCATACAGAGGTCAACATAAACTCCCTGGCAAGGCCTTCTTTCTGATTTTAGAAAGGCCAGCTTATCAGTTTGGTTCCTGTAATAGCTTAAAAATATGATTCAGCTTTATCAGGAAAAAAATCTAAATAACGTATCAAGGATCCATATAACAGTAAAAATATTTTTAAATCCCAAAATGTTTTCATAAAGATGCAAGATTACATTACTCAATTATTTTTAAAGCGTTTTTAAAAAAAGCTGTGTATCGGCTGCCGTGGCTAATGATTGCAGGCATTCGAATGAGCCCATGGCTACGACTTCAGTCTGTTCTCTGGAAATGGCTCTGATGTCATAAACTGCCTCGGCTCCACTGACAGGAACATCTTGCAGAAGAAAAGCTGTTTGAACCCATATGTTTGTTGTGCTCAATGGCAGGAGGGGGCGATTCAGCGGATGCAGAAACAGGCAGCTATTGAAAGGGAAGAAATTGGAAAGTGTCATGGACGGGCCAAGTCCAAGGAGGCTGTTGTTTACAGCAGAGTCTGCAGAAGAGGACAAGTGATGGCTACAGGAGGCCGTTCCTGCCATCCTGACAGCATAGCTGCTCAGAAACAAGATGTCAGAATAGACACTGCTATTTATGTAGGGGGGAGGTGGGCAGTGGGAAACTCTGGTAAGTTTGTGTTTAATCCTCCGTGATGTCAGACAACAAAGGTTCCAACTTTGATCTCAGAATGAATCTGCAAAGACAGTCTCAAGAGCCACCCTAGGCTCATCACCTCTAAAACAGGCAAACTGCACATTGCCTCTTAACGCAATTGCCTCTTTTGGTGGAATTTTCAATTAGTAATTAAGAATGCGTTTGACAGAAATTTCTCACATTATCCTTATGGCCAGATAAAATATAAACATGAAAATAATTCAGAACGGAACATTCCTGGCTGAATGAACAACTGATTCTACTCAAAGAGGGTTGATTAATGCATCATCTCTAGCCTGGTGAGAAGCTTCTCATCGTGGGAGAAAGGCTGTCACTTGGCATGCTTAGAATTTCTATGAATGATGTCAATGAAGATATGTCTATCATATTCTCAGGTGACCCAAAGCCAGAGGACAAAACCACAATTTTAAAAGATCCCAGTGACCTAGACTGTGAAGGTGAAACGTTCTAGAAGGGGAGACGGGAAAATGGTGGTCTTTAACTGACTGGGCTTAATGTTAACAACAGTTTAGAATATTTGTAGGTTGGGGATGGGTAAGGTAAAGATGATTCATGTATTCACAAGGCAGTTTATATTGGGTGCCTGTAAGGAGCCAGGCCCTGTTTCAGATGTAAATGTGCAGCAGAGAATAACAGACAAGACCCTGCCC